CTGAGAATTAGATCAGTTGTATTCATATGTGGACATTTAGATTAATGAAACACTCTCAGCAATGTTAGATACAGATGTGGAAACTGACGTCCATATTTTTGTTTCTTAAATTCCCCCGTGATGATTAGAAATGAAAACAGACCTCATAGTTCTTTAGGGGTCATTTCCAAGGTCAAAAATCAAGAGTTCACCTTTTTTTAGCCCCTAATAATGGCAGGGTCATGAGTTCCAATCCGGGGGCAGTTGGGGGGGAATTACATCACATGTCAAAAGTTCGGTAACATGTGCTATAATTTTGAAATTTCAGACTATAGCTTAACATTTTTTCTTGTTCCTCAAACTGAAAGGAACTTGATAGCAGTCCCTAGATGAGGAACAGAAGTTGACGTGTTTAGACCTTCCTGGAGTTCGTGAAAAAGGTGAAGCTGAAGGGTTAATTTAGCCGAGTGGGGCCTGGTGTGACAAACAAGCTCCACAGATCAACTTGTTTTGAAGACGCGCCACAGAAAGAGGAGTGGGGTTTCACCCATCCTCCCTTCCTCCCTCGTCCCCTATTGCAAACATGCAGTCAATACAATCTCTTGCAGTCATCGCAGTTCTGGACGTTAAAATAAATGTAAATAAAAAAAGGTAAATAAATGAGTTCAATAAAGTGATATCAGTATCACTCTTTCAAGAGTCTGATTACAAATACTGGCTGTTACATCAACACTTCAAGTGGATACTAGCTCATATTTTTGCAGATTTTGTTTTTAGTTTTTAATCCACTTCTCCAAAGTTGAAGAAATACTTTTAGTTTACCCACCAAATTAATGTTGTTTGACTTCCCTGGATCCTTGACCCTGAATTCCAAATTCAAACATTTTTCCTATGGGAAAGATACTGGACATTCCTACGGAGTCTGATGGAAAAGTACGAATGTTTTCACAGTTTGGGAAATTGTGTGGAGACTAAACAGACTAATCTTGTTTTTTTGGATTATTCGTTTATTATAAACACGGTGCTTTAGTCATTTGAATGTCATCATTGACCCAGATGAATCAGCATCAGACGAACCAGTTTTTGTTTATGTAGAATAGACCTGATTGAGTCATCCATGTCGCCTTCTGGTTCTGTGTTGTTGGACAGGAAGGAACATTTTTAAGGATTTTTAGTCCAGGTGAAAAAAATATCCTAGTTTAATAGAAAACGTCTCGCTACGTTTTAGTAGCATTTAACACCCACAGCAGTTTCTACCTTTTGTTGGGCCGATAGATAATGGACAAGATATCAACAATTCCTTCTGTCTGCTTACAAACACTGACTGACCCACACCTGTAGAGGGTGCTAAAATGCATCAACAATTCCCTGGTTTAAGTCAGCAAGTTAGCAAATGATTACTAAAATGTAGCCATAAAATAATTAAAATCTATTCGAAAGATTGTTTCAAAACTTGTCAAAACTTATTTGTTTCTGATAAGTATGGCGTGGTAGCCCAGTGGCTAAAGGTTAGCGAAAAGTTGTACACATGAGGGGGCGACGTGAGGTGCCGGTGGGGAGTGAGGGGCTTCCAATGGTATATGGCACGCTGGACATAAGTGTATCACTGCTGTAATGCTTGAATGATAACAAGCCTCCAGTCACTAGGTGGCAGCAACTCATACAGTGGTTTGTACAGATAAAAATAAACATGTTATCAGGTACTCAATAGTATTTCAATTTGTGGGGTGTGTGTTGGGGGGGGTCGTGAAAACATTTCTGTCCCCAAGGGGGGACAGGATAATTGAGAACCACTGGTCGACAGGATGTCATATGAAATGCTACAAAGTATCCAAACATTGCAGCACAAAACGGCTAAAGCTAGCCACAAAGTTGGTCTGTAAAAGTTAGTAACAAGGACAATAAGGGCACTTCCTTCTGTGGTCTGAGGTCAAGTGGAGTGCTACGTCAAGCTGGCCACTTCAAAGACAGGAATAAATGTGAGGGAAATTTGCCGGTTGCTCACTGACTGAGTGAGAGCAGGAGTAGTGCTTGTCACGTGGAAAACATTGGTTATTCCCAGTAGAGCAGCTCAGTTTCAGTGGGAGTTTAAATGAGTCAGGATGTGTGTGAGCTCATGGGGGTGAATGGGAAGTAAGGCGGAGTTTTGGGATTTTTTTTTTCTCTTTCGTCATATGTCTTCCTCGTCGACTGCAGTAGTAAACAGAACGCACTGCTCGGCTCCTGTCATTTACATTCGATCTCATCGGCTTTCACTTGAACTCAGTCTCTTCACCTCAACATTCGGAGGTTTTTTTTTTTCACACTCACTGATCAGAAGGACTACACTCCAGATAAAGGCAAGGACAGAAACACACCACCTGCTGAATATCAGACCTTGAAAGTTTCGATTGGTTCTCATCCCCGAGGTCACAGGGGTTGCCCACCCGTGGAACGACACTGGCGTTTTCCATGGTAGGTAAATGAGGAGTGGAGCAGTAGTTGAATGTATTTTTCTGTGAGCTGGCTAAAGCTAACATACTCAACATTTTTGTGATAGGTCGTGAGAGCTCTAATCCATCAAATATTAGTTAATAAAAAAAGTTTATATATTTATAATCTCTTGATTTATTTAAAGCTAGCTTCAGAGACCCAAAGGAATTTACAAAAAAACACCTTGTAAGGATGTTTTTATCAGTAAAAAAAAAAAAAAAACACAGTATGAGGCAGAAATGGAACTGATAAATGCCATAGTCGGGGAGATAGCGGGATTAGCTTATCTCCTCCCAGCCGCTACGAAGACTGACTTCAATAAGTCATGTTTTTCATATTTAAAACCTCTGTGGTTACAGGTGCAAAATCGGGACTTTAATTGAATTCAGAGCAGATCGTGTCACACCATTATTGGAGGTGTACGGCTTCACACAACAGTGAAGCTCCGTGCTGTATCACTGCTATGTTGTTTTTGGACTTTAGATCCTGTTTTGTGTGTGTGTTCTGAAGTGCTTTTCTAATACTCTGTGGGACAGTGCAGTTCTTTAAGATGATGGTTCCCAAAGTGGGGGGTGAGACCCACTGGGAGGGCAAAAAGGTACTGCACAGGCCTAGGGGGGCTGTTGTTTCTTAATTTATTTTATTATTTGATTTAAAACTATCATGCTGTACCAGTTTATTTAACTAATGGACATAATGTCATTCCCAGCACCCCCTACAGGTGAAACAAGTTAATATAAGTAAATATTAAGAAAATGATTTTCCCCCTAAAATAATACATTTCATCCTAACCTACGTCACAGATGTGGTTTCAAATGACAAAACAGTGCTGAACCAGGATACACACTGAGAGGTGCGTTAGGAACAGATCTGTATTCACTCGTGTGTGTGTGTGTGTTTGTGTGTGTGTTTTCTTTTCATCACATCGATGTAAAACAGTTTTCCTGCTCAGTTTTTCCTTGAATGTCTGCAGTTTTTACATCTGCTCCTCCTGTTAGCGGACCAGCTGGTGCCACCACAGCGTTTTGTTTTCCATTTCATTCACTCTTAATTGTGAGCGGTTTAAGAATGATCAGTCTCCACTTCTGTCACTTCCTCCTTTTTTGGTGCTGTTTCACTGCCTTCCTGTCTGTCTCTCCTTCTTCTGCCCCGCAGCTATGGTTGGGAAGGCTGGTTGCGTCATAGTCCAGTTAATGTTGCTCCAGTCAGACAGCAGTCAGTTCACTTGACATGTAAGTGAGAGAGAGAGAGAGAGAGAGAGAGACCAGCTGAGCGGCCGGTGAGCGTTGTTAATCCGGTGCACTGATTGTCTTTTGACTCGTGTTGAGCTCGAATGTGAGGAGTTCTCCAGGTCAGCGAGGATTAAGTGGTGATTTTCCTCTTCAGTAAGTCGTTTTCCTCCTTCTGTGATGATGAGGTTAATGTACGTTGTGATATAAACCCAAAAGGAAAAGAAAAAAAAAATCTGTATTTAGTTCCAAACCTTATGTCTTGGAGTCATTTGCTGAAATGTGTTCTTTCCCCTAAAGAATGCTTCAGTACTTTGGGAGGTTATGTGGTGAAATGAGAAGCTCAATTTTTTTTTTTTTTTCTGAGCAAAACTTTGCAGCATGTTGGAACATACCGTAACATTTGACTGGAATGCATCACCTGTTTCACAAAAAGGGAATAGTCCCTGGAATCTTATTTGTTTCCCAACATTTTTTCTTGAAAACTTGATCCTCGCAATATGTGTGTGTTGCCAGAAGGACCTTTGGGCGATGTGTGATTTCACCCTCAGGTTGTTTGCATGGGACAGTGCAGGATGGGTCAGCAGTGGAGATAAGAGAGACCAGTGGGGGGCAGTAAATGGACAGACTGAGGCGACATATTTGACTAATGTAAATCATTGTTTCCCAAAGACTGGGTCGCGACCCTCAGGTGGGTCGCAAGAGAGGGTTTTTTTGGGTCGTCTCAGCAGAGCATTTCCTGTCAGTTGTCTGTCTGTACTTATATGTGAAGGATTCTTCAAGCTGTGGAATCTGGGGGGAAGAAAAAAAAACCCTTTTTGCTGTACGTGTCCGTGCAGAGGTGGGTGAGTTTATGAAATGCCGTGACCAATACAACGTGTGTTCGTTGTTGTAACTTAACACTATCAGATGAAGAAGAACATGAGTCACTCACACTGACACAGACACCTACGCTGTTTATGGTCTATATTACACTGGAGGTATTTCCTGTTTGCAACATCCAGGATTTTTTTGGGCCATAAATCGTGTTTGTTTAATAATAATAATAAAAAAAACCCCACACATTTATCTTGTTTCTGAAGACACTTTAGAAAGCAAAAGTTAAGATAAAATGTGATGACATGAGGTGGCACCAACGTCAGAGTTGTTTCCTGGGCAGGTTTGATCTAAAGGATGATCATATGTTGCACATCCGTTTGCTAAACCTGCAGCAATAACAGGTAGATGACTAGAGTCATCTGAAATAAAAAAAAAAAAAACAGTAAGACATAAAATAGCTCAAAGTAAAAAAAGTAGGATGATTGTACCAAAATAGCTCAAAGTAAAAAAAGTAGGACAATGTATTGAAGAATGAAAACTACATTTACATCTTTAGTCTTTGTATTTAATCGATCTTGTATTACAGTATTACACTTTGTCTCTTTGACCCAAGACTCACTATTTAGTTCCATGGCCAACTCGAACCATCCCTGTGACCCACATTGAGGTCACGACCCACTGTTTGACAGTGTTCCATAGACTCAACCTATGTTGAAATACTGTATTTGCGAAATCTAATGCTTGTGAATGATCACCGTCTCAGTCATCAATACTGGCGTTTGATTGGTCCTGGTCCTACTCCCTTTTTTACTTTTGTCACACACATTTTTTTTCAAGTAAACCTTGAGCCTGAATTGACTCAGAGTAGATGTCCCCACAAAGACACAGCCCCCCGCCCCCCATAAGAGTATCTATCCAAATAATGTCCCCACAAGTGCAGATAGACCAGACAAACACACACACGCCGACTCACTTTTGCTTCTTTCAGCGGAAGAAGAAACAACAAGTGCCTCCGTTTGAGTGAATCCATATGTGTGTGAGGCGTCAGCACTGTGCAGCATTAGACTGAAGGAGAGTCTGGTAATAAGGACCAGACCTGCAGACAGACAGACACAGTCTCGTTGCATAAGGACGGCAGTAAAAAGGCTTAGGTCCTGGCTCTCTTCCTCTGTCTCCTCGCTCGACCAGAGGACAGATGGAGGCAGAAGAAAGTGAACGAGCGATGGCGGCGGCTTTTTTCACATGCCGCTCCTCAACAGATGGACGCATCGTTTATTTATTGAAAATAAATCAGACCGGGGGTGAGGCCGGCCCCGGCCCCGGCTCCTGCTTTGATCTCCCACAGCCTGACTGGGACTGGCACCTCGTGGGGGCCACCGCTAATTGCAAATTTTGTGAAATGTTTAGAAAAGCCGGCTCCTCTCCTGCAAACACGAGGAGGCCCAAGAAATAGGTTAGAACGGAGTTAATACACGGAACGAGGAGGCCCAAGAAATAGGTTAGAATGGAGTTAATACACGGAGTTTGAACCTTCCGTGGTCTTTGTCAGATCAGCTGGGAAAAAAACAAACAATACGTTAGCTCTGTGTATCTTTACAGTTGAGGTGGACTAGAGTTTTGGTGTTCTGTTAGCATGTTGTCCTAGTTGCCATAGTGTTCTGTTAGCATGTTGTCCTAGTTGCAGTTTGAACGCCCCGGTCCATGACTTCAGAACTCGTTAGTGATTATTACTTAATATGAATCTAAATTATGGTGAAATGCAATGCATTTAGCTTTGACACCAGAGACTTAACTTACAAAAAGACATGTCAGAGTGGAGGTGATGCTGCCCTCTGCTGGGCCTTTAATTACAGGCTATATAAAACAGTGGTTCTCAAGCCCTGGTATGCATACCACTGCTGGTACTTGGACTTTTTTTCACTCAGTTGTTAAATACACATAATAATTATTGTCTTGGTCGGTTGTTGTTTGCTGTTGTACTTCAATGTACTTGTTGGTTTCAGCTGATAAATAAACAGTTTTATTAGGAGTAAATTCCATACATCATATCACTCCATTTGTTAAGCAACAACTATTTCATCTGTTTCCCTCTGGTTTTTATCCTCCAGACCTTATCTAAAATGAATTTCATGTTTTAAATCACTCTAGATTCACTGGTGAATTCAGTCATAACACAAGCAGGAAGCAGGAAATCTAAGGTCAGAGCACGGGTTGATCTGATAGTGAAAATGAGAGACTAATTAGGTTTCTTTGAGTCACGTACTATGACACACTCATGTCTGCATTTGACTTATCATCGGTTGGTCTGGTGTCGCAGACTTTGTTGGGGATTCGTCTTGACCAAAGTCTGTCTTCAGTATTTGACTGACTTCACAGCAATCTGAACAAGACTGAGCATGATTCGACTTCTCTAGTCCTAACCATTCAGTACAGCTCGTACAGGTGCGTTTATTGGGATGACGTGAGTGAGCCTGTGTGTAAGAGAGTGTGTGTGTGTGTGTGTGTGTTTGCAGTAAGGCCAGCCAGTCACGGTCAACCTATTGTCTTCAATCCCAATGAGCAACCGTCCCGTAGCCTGTTATGACTGATGAACGCTGTCGTATGCGACGTTAACGCTAACATCACGTTAGGTTTGGGGTTGAGCATTGTTGCCCACTTTAAACCTCAGCAGCAGTAGCGTTAGCTAACTGCTTCCTGCACTCTGAACCAAAAGGAAAAAGAAAAAAAAGTAAAACATAACAGCTGCACTTTTTAGCTGCTTTGTTGTCAGTGTTGACATCTGGTCTTAAGAAAACCTCAAAGACGGTTCTGTGCTGTAAAACAATCCAAACTTGTTAAATAATCAAAACAGCTTGTGGCAACGTTGTGTGATCAAACGGTTGCCTTGGAACAAAACCCTAGTGGATTTTTGCTAGCCGTTTAACTTTTCTTTTTTTTCTTTTCTTTTTTTTTTATGAGAGCAAACGTAAGCTAATAGTGGCGTATAAAATATACAATAAAGTAAACAACAAATCATCTCTTCCCTCGTGCCTGTTTATTGGAACGAGGAGACAGTGGTACCCACGTAAATAGGTCAGTCGGGCTGTAACTTGGTCTGTATGTAAACATACACAGACCCCCAACCCCCGCTACCCCACCCATGAGAATAGTGGAAGCAGATATGTGTGCATACGTTTGTGTGTAGGTTAGCAGTGACATCAGTGACAGAGCACCGTGTTTGTTCTAAGGGTGTGGGCACTGCCATGACAAAGAGCATGTGTGTTACAGTGGAATAATGAGAGAAAGTTCCTGGGAGTGTGTGAGAGAACTCCCCATTTCAACAGTGTGTCAACAAAAGATAACATTTTATTGTTTCTTTTTTTTTCTTCTATGTGTATTTTTCTACCCCGTCCAGTAAAACAACTGTATGTGTTGTACATTATCTGTCACCAACATATTTACATATTGACCTGCAGTCAGACTAGTAATGATTACTCAGTAAGTATTTACCTTAAACCAAACTAACTGTTTTGTGTCTTTTGCAGTTGATTTCTGTTTCTGTTTTTACGAGTGAAATAATGAACTCTGAGACTTTGTGTGAGTGGAGTATGGTTGCAATTAGGGCTTGGATTCGATTCAAATATTCAACAGCGATTAATTGCATTATCTTCACAGTTAAACACAAATGAATTGCACATTTTAGTCTGTTCTAAATGTCCCTTCCAAACAGTAATTTTGAGTTTATAATACCAACTTATTTGCTCAAAACCAGTGTTTGTTTACTGTAAAAAAAAAAATTTCAGATTTGCTCAAAACCAGTGTTTGTTTACTGCTAAATATTTTTTTTCAGAATTATATACATACATACACATATATATGTATATGTGTATATACAGTATATATGTATGTATATGTGTATATATTGCACAGTTAAGATATTCATTTCCATTGAGTTTCTTTGGTTTCAGGTTGTGTAACAACACAACCGTATAGTACCCAATAAAGGAGCATCTTCTTTTCTTTTTCTTTTTTGTGTCGAGCTACTCATGTCATGTCTGGTGGCATCAATGTTCTTCAGCAGTAATTCACTTAATGTTGACTTGAAATGTCAAGAGTACCAGAGTGACATTTAGGCTGAACTCACCAGCAATGTTGCCCTTTGGGGCAGTTCTCAGTGCATTCGGCCTCCTGGTAGGATGGGATGACGTTCTGTAATATTTTCTACAACAACAGGTTCATATACATGAATACATAACTTGCAAAAACATCAGATAAACTCAAGTGTTTTTCTTCTTTAGAATCAAGATAAGTCCACCCAGTGACATGTGGGCTGCAGCATAGTGTAGTATGACTGTGCGGCACTCACTCATGCTTGGGTCTGATGATAGAGGCAGTGCTGGGTGCCCCCTGTAGGTTGAGGTCCGTGTCGTGACCTCTGTGGTGGATTTATGTGTTTATGGATCTGATCAGGTATTACGGTTGTTTCTAATCTCTTCTAGGGATTTTGTACGCTGTAGGGCAAATAATGGTGTTGTACACTGAGGGGACAGATTCTGACTGTTTGTATGTCACTTCTATACAATGTATTGCAGTAATACTTACAGTGAAAACAACTTGATACTGAAGATGGTTGTTCCTTGTGGTAGGAGCTGAAAACCTGTATCTAGCTTTGTGTGATAAGATCATTCAGGATGTGTTGCATAATCTGACTTTGACCTTTTAATGTTTAACAAAGTGGATCCACATTTACAGCCTAAGTGTACACCTCTATTCACTTTTAACATTAAAAATTAAAGTCTTTTTTATAAAGAACACCTTGGAATTTGAACGAACGAAACGAGATAAGACAGCAGCGCTTTCTGTCGTATCTCGGGGGATGAACACTGATAAGTCTCCAGAAACCTTAGCCCCAGGCTAACGTACCCTTCTTGATAATGATGCGTACACATGTGTGCGGTGTGAGACAACACTATTATGTAAGTGTTAGTGTGTTCTGGCAGGACAGGTTGTTCAGAGTGAGGTCAGAGAGGGAAATTTTTGTCAGGTTGCAGACTGGGGAGTTTTATCTTGTGCCGTTTTGTCTTTTGCAAAATCAGTGCGAGTAATCAGTAACAGCATGCTCTCACTGGTGCAGTCTCAGTGCTGCCTGGTGATGGATGGCTCTTGTATCACATGGAGTCAGTCAGTGTAATCTGGATTTTTGAATTTATCTGCGGAAATTCCATACATAAAGAGTTGATCATCCACAGATTTTTCCGCTTGCGAGGATGTGGCAAGATGTCGAACCCCGGATGAAAAGTCGCCTCGGGAGAAGAAACTGTGAAGGTGGTGGAAAAACATCACCGCCAAAGTTGTTCCGACAGGCAGTTTTTGCCCTAATTATGAATCTGGTTCATTAGGCCTTCAGCCGTACGTGTACCTGATCTATGTTTTCACATCGTCCTAATCAACTCTGTGACCTCGAGGTCGTGCTTTTGTTATTTATAGAACAATTATGATCGAACTCCCAACGTGTGATGGATGTACTGTACAGCGTGTGCTGTAAAGTGCGATGTGTACAGACGTTATTTATTGCGTGCCAGTTTTGGGAGGATTAGCGTCGGGGTAATAACCCTGACTGACTTCAGGGAACTTTAGTCATCTTTCAAACAAGAGCGTCTTCATCACAGCCGGGCGGCTGGTGTGCAGTCTGATGATGCATCTCTGGAGCAGGCATGTCTGTGTACGTATGTCGACGCCAAAGTGCGTGTCTGTGCGTGGTCGTATTTTTCCGTGTTTGCAGCGTGTGGAGAGATGAGATGGTTGAAGCAGGTGCCACGTGGCATTTGATGCATTAAGCCAAGAGCAGGGCTTCTTTAGAGGCAGTTTGTGTACTCAGCTGTTGGGTGTGTGTGTGTGCACGTGTGTGTGTTTGTGTGGGCATGCATGCATGCATTGTTTTATGTACAGTCACTTCTGCTCCTGACAAGCCCTCCACTAATCCCTGCAGATCTGAGCAGGCATGCGGTTGAGGGGGTGGACACGCGACACACACTCACATGACACATGTTGTGCTGCACACTTTCATAAACCCCCAACTACAGGGCAGGTCCTGGCTTCATGTCAGCTGCCCTGCATCGTTCCACAGCCTTTATTTACACTCTGGTGTGGGGTTGTGTTGGGAAAACTGATCTGAATCAAGATTTCAATCCAGGCTGTGCACATTCACTCACTTATGAAGTTTGTATTCTGAGCTAAATGAAATTATTATGGGAAATATCTTTGTCTCTGGGAGTTGACGTGAGTGTGAGATCACAGGGTTTTGTAAATTCTTGTTTGGGATTTTGTACATCCTGTGCTCTACTCAGTTGTGTTGAGTAAGTGTCAGGGATTGTCTGTTGCCTTAAAGTTTGCTATGGAGAAATGTCCCATAATAAAAGTCCAATGAATCATTTGGATTCAAACAGAGTCCAGTTTTGTTTTTTTTTACATCCGATACCCTTCCAACCAAACCTGACATTGGTGGGATTGTACCCAAGACCTCGTACCTGACAGCATGTTATAGTGCACCTTTTAATCAGCATCAAATCTCATCTATCCCTCTGGGTTTTTTTATTTTTATTTTACTTAAGAAAATATCAGACATTGTAAAATGAAACCAGTAGGTGGCGCTAGTCTCCAAAGCCAAATGGAGGAGGAACAGGCAGTAACATGCTGTCTGTTTACAAACACATTATACCCAACTAAATAGTACTGCAGTCGTGGAGGACTGTGGACTATTGTCCAAATAAGACCTTGGTTCCTTGTAATTTTCTGGCCTGTCCATCCGTCTCCACACCTCATCGAAAAACATGCCACCTGAGTGCGATGGGACATTTAACCCTGCCATGCGAAAATGTGCATGCGTTGTGACTTTAGTGGGCGATGTTGTCACAGACTTCTGAAACTTGTGTGGTTTTTCCCAGGAAGCCGTCTGTGCGCGCTGAGGTCAGTGAGTCATTCGGAGGGAAGACACTTATCTGCTCCGTCCTGGCCAACGTTTAGACGTCAACAATTGAGAAATGTATTCACTACCCATCATGCAGTTCTGCAGTAGTTACCACACAGTGAGCACAAGATGGGATGTGATCTGACTTTGTTTAAAAAAAAAAAAAAGTGTTAATGTTTAACAGCCAGAATGAGGAAAAGCAGTCTTCTCATAAGTCAACCCTGAGGTTTCTACAGAAATGTTACAGGGACCTGCTGCAGAGAATTACATAAGATTTTGAGATTTATGTCTGTGTCAGAAAAAAAATTGTAACAGCTTCACTCCAGAACACATACTCAGCTTTAGGCTCCTGGCCACCATGAGGATCAGTGGAGAACTTGTATGTGGCACCACACAATGGAAACACAGTGACCAGTGTTTTGGCTACTGAGTAAACGCCTGTGAAACAGTTTAAATAATGTCACTGACATTTACAGTTGAATGACAATATTCAAAATTGACAAAAAAAAGGCTGATAATGTGTTTATTTAAATAGTGTAAATTACAAATTGACAGTTAAACGCAGCAAGGCGGCTGCACTGAGCCGTTCAAGCACTGTCACAGACCCATTAGCATAACAGCTAAAAACAGCTAACTGAAGCTCAGCTGTCTTGGTCTGCGTGGATATCAGAGGATGACAGTGCTGCTGTCAATGGCAAAACATTATCAGACAAAATTTGGTTCAAAACAATTAACTTATTAAGCCAGAGTCCAGGATAGAAATTTTAATCAGAACTAAGAAACTGTATGAAGCAGCTGTGGCAGCTAGCATGAATGCTAAAAACAGGAAACAGAGTGGACGTCTCTATTCAACAGGGGCTAAAAAAAAATGCCAGATGTTAGGTGAGTCTGAAGCCACATGTTTAATTTATGTAAAACTTTAGAATGTTGTTGTTGTAGTTATTTTTATCTAATTGAAATTGACATATATTTGAATTAAAACAACAGCTGTATCCATTTAAATGCATCCAAAAGTATACATTACAGTTTTTATTAACTACAAGTGAAGAAGAATGATTGAAGTACAATTTGTCACTTCACCTGTCGGTTCCTAAATCCTGGCCAGTTGACCTTTAACCTGCAGTTACATATCCTGAGCGCTCATGACACAGAGCACCAATAACATAAGCCTTAAA